ATGTTACTGATGACTTGTGTCATAATTAATTCAATGTACTCAGTTACATGAACTCATAAACAATTTTGATACTTCTGCTCAAGTGTATTATTCAGAAAGGTTTACTTTTTACTCAGTTACATCTTAGACATTTAGTTACTCATTTTTAGAGTTTAATGTCATTCTGTAACTGTGGCATCATTTGTGCTGCTCTCTGATTGGTCACACCTCTGACCTTTGAGGTTTATTATTTTATTTTAGCCCAAGAATGCATCAAAAATAGTTAAATAGCTCTTGAAAACACTGGTACAGCTTCACTACTCTGATAGACGCTGTACAATTGATGATGTTGGACAATTGAGCATCTAAAATTCTGTTTCCAATAAAAAAAATAGTTTTTTTTAGGTTTTCTACTAATTCACATTTTCAAATTCACATAATTCACATTTTCAGATTAATTTTTTCAATGCTTTTTCAAGTTCAGTTGCATTTAGTGGATATTTAGTTGAAAGCATCTACAGTGGACCATCCAAAAAAAGTGTTACCCACTTTTAAAACAAAACCATGCAAAAAGCATTTGAACATAGAATCTCTTTGGTGCCAGGTAATAATGCTTGTTTTATAACATAAGTGATGCAAAACAGTCAGTAAAGCAGTGTTTTTAAGGCCAGAAGCGAGTGTAAAACGTAGTATGAATGCATTTTGAACATGATTCCAGAGGAATACCTGTCAACCCCAGCAATGCTGATGTGCCTTATACGCTCATAGCACTGCTATTTCAGTGTCACCGCTGCACTGAAAGTGGAACATCATCCAAATTATATCTGGTCAGCAGTGGTCCTGTGGTGGTCCCTTTCCACTGATGTGGAGAGGAGGGCTGCAGCAACAGATTAATAATAATAATAATAATAATAATAATAATAATAAGCTCTCTCTATATATATTTCTAGCCGGCAGCTCAAAGTGTTTTACAGACAGGTGATAAAGCTTAACAGTAATACAAGAAATTATGAGTATTAATTTAAAATCACAGATAAAATTAAAAAGAAAAATACCAAGAGACATAGCATTTTATTTAAACGCCATGTGAAAGGGACATGTTTTTAAATGTTTCTTAAAAGTGAGCACTGAGCTTGACTGTCTAATAAAAGATGGAATTGATTTCCACACTTTAGAAGCATGATTGAAAGAAGCCTCTCCACATTTCTGTATTTTATAGAAGGTATTTGCAGAAGGCCATAATCTGCAGATCTCATATCACATGCTGGAACATAAACAGACAGACATTTTGTGATGTAAGTGGTGCTTTAAGGTCATTTAGAGCCTTAAATACTAGTAGCAGAACTTTAAAATCTATCTTTAAAGATACAGGTAACCAGTGCAGCTCTTTCAAAACAGGAGTGATATGATTCCTCAGAGAGTGTAGGCACAAGGTAGGAAAATGGGGTGGGGTGGTGGGGGGTTCAAGGAATAGATTCCATGTTTTAACTGTGTGAATTAAATGTGAATTCTGAAATATGTTTTTTAAAATCTGAATTTAAAAAAAAAAACTTCTGAAAGTGAAACTGGATTTCAGATGTTCAGTTATACATCATCAGCAAAATAATAATCAAATCTCAAGTTTCAGGTTTTATACTGCTCTCTTACAGACCTTAAAATTCAATTTCAATTTAGAATTCAATTTCAGGCGGTATGATACTGTAGCATCAGCATAGAGTAAAATAGAAGAGGCCATGATTCAACCACAAGAAGTGCTCTTCATCATGCCAGGGCAGAAAGGCACACACACAGTCCTGAACTCATGGATGAGGTCACCACTAGCCATACACTTCACCCTCACAGTAACCACCAGCCCACACTAACTAAACCTACTCCCTGACAAAGAACAACACAATCAACACCTTTAACTGACAAACAACATGAACAACACAAATATTCCCTTTTCCAAGTGGCACGCACCTCCTCTGATCTTTCTGGTGCGGCCATGTCTCACGAGCTTCTAGAAACCAGCGCCAGATGGTAGCGGGTCACTTCAATACATATTCAAAATAATAACATTCAAATTCAGATTTTTGCATTTAAATTCAAATTTCTAGTGGCATAAATCTAACTTCATATTGAAGCTGTTTATTGAAAGTACCCTTTGAATCAGAGAGTCTTATTAATTAGAAGACTGTTCCAAAGTTTGGGGGCACAGGGAAGCAAATGCAGTTTTCCCTTTTGGCTTCAGTTTTGTCCTTGGAACAGCCAAAAGCCTTTGACTAAAGACCTTACACTTGCAAAGGGAGCTAACAATTCACAAACATATTCAGGAGATTCACCATGTGGCTTGATAAGCACCAGTAATTTAAAATCAATTCTAAATTTACAGGTAGCCAGTGAACAGAAGCATGTGCTGGGCTAATGCACTCCCTATGTCTAGTCTATGTAAGAGGACGGGCAACTGCATAAAGGTACTTTCACTTTAGTAGTTATTTCACAGTACCTTTACTTGAGTTCAGGTCCTCTACCCACCTCTAAATTGTTCATTTTTAATTGCTTGAGGTGGTTGCTAGGGTTAGAGTTGTGTCCTGATCTAATTTACTGACATGTTGAATGTGAATATTTTGCATCAGCATTCACATATTTACCTCTTTCAATCTATCTATTCAATCTAGTGTGTAACACTTTGCACTGAGTGAATGATAAATCTTTATTGGTTAATAGACTTGTTTGCCTGTTTTTTAATCGAGGCCAATCTGGGCTACCTTAAAGGGGAAATTCTCTGATTTTTCAAATCATAATTTGCATAATTAAATGGTTATGATGTAAACAAAGTTATGAAGTCAGAGTGGTTTGATGTGAAATTCTCTGTTCTAGAAACAGAGAACAGAACTGTTCACAGTGGTAGCGATAGGAACCAAATCTCTATAGAGTTTGCCTCTTAAAGATCATCACAGAAAGTTTGTACACAAAGTGTTAATGAATATATTACATAATGTCTGTCACATTGTTTAAAAATAGATTTGAGATAAGATTTTAGGCTAAAGTGTATTTTTAATACATTATTGCTGGCGTGGTACATGTTAGGTGCTGTAAGGCAAAATAGTCCCCAAAGAATTTTTTTTTCAGATTTCCTACTGTTTTACCATCATCAACATTATATATTAAAAACTCAGAAGACACATGTAGGTTCACTGGTTGTTAAAGAGATAAATAAAATGGCCAATTTTGTGTTGTACATGGATCTTATCACCAGCACTGTAATTAATCTGAGTCAGTAAGACTTCATTTTTTGGTATATCTGATTTGAGCTGGGCAGATTTTCTGTAGTCTGAAAGGTGAAATGCCACATGAAATCTGACTTTTTCCAGTCAGATTCAAGCCACTTTTTTACTACTGAATACTACTGATGCAGCCTGTAGCTTGTTAGCAGTCTGTTGAGCAGCTCAGCCTACACAAATGTCAAGTTTTTTAACTATGTAGGCAATAAAAAGTGAAACGCTGCTGTGAATATAGCGTGACTGTTCTGTTAGCTAGTCATCGTTGTTAGGTTTGCTAAGTTTGGCCACTACTCCACCTATGCATTGTTACTATAATAACCAATGTGGATATCTGAGCAAATGCGACTACAGTCTGACAAATCTATGGAGCCCTGTTGGTGACATCCTGTATAAATAAAAAAAATGCGTGGCCAGGACTTAGTAAGGCGTGGGAACAAGATAATAAAATTGTGGCCATAGCTTAGTAAGGTGTGTGGATGAGATCCTAATGCATGGCCATGACTCAGTAAGGTGTAGGAATAACCACAAGGTCAAGGCTTAATCATCTCATTCCCACGCCTTACTAAGTCATGGCTATGATTTAATTATCTCGTTCCCATGCCTTACTAAGTCATGGCCATGACTTAACTATCTCGTTCCCACGCCTTACTAAGTTGTAGCCACACATCAGGATCTCGTTCACGCATTATTTTTATTTATACAGGATGTCACCAGCAGGGCTCTGTACAAACCACATTTGGTCACTTATAACTTGAAATCTGAACAGTCCGCCCAAAAAGTCAGATATAAGAATCAAATCCGATGTGTCCTGCAGTGTGAACAACGCCTAGAACTAAGTACGCCAAACCACTCCGAATGACGCGCGCTGAAAGCGAGCAAGAAATTATGCAGTTCCCCTTAAAGTGACCTTAACAGTAACCTGAACTCATTGTTGTGGATGTCAGAATCGCAGTAAGTGATGACGCAGGGATTTCCACATTGTAGTGTTTCATCTACTCTGACTGACCTCCCTCAACTCACCAGTTCATTAATCAGCTCTTCAGTAGATCACAGCGGGTGTTTTAAAGCAGTAAACTGTGCTAAAGTAACTAACGCCATGTGTGGGCGGGGCTAAACGCTCAATCACTTCAATTCTGTTATTGGTCGATGTGATCGCCAGTGCTTTGTGGGCACGAATGGAGTGGAACACGTGGAGTGTTTTTTTCCCCACCGCTATTCGGACAAGCCAAGCCTCCTGCGCTAGGATTGGCTAGTCGTTTATGCTCGCAAGCGTTCTAAAACGCTATTCTAATTAATCCCGCCTCCTGCGCTCCGATTGGCTGCTGCTTTCTGCTCACAAACGTTCTGGAACGCCAATTTAAACCTACTGACAATCTGTGAGTATGAACTGCTAGCCAATCCTAGAGCAGGAGAGCTACTACTAGCGAATCACAATGCAGCGGGCGTGGCTTGTGTGAAGACGGGTGGGAAAAAAACCCTAACACTCCGCGCTGCCGTGTGGATCAGTGGATGCTGAAACTGGCAGTTGCATGATGCTGTTCGGAGAGCCCCAAACGACACCATCTACCAGATTCAAACAGTTTCTTTAACCTTGTGTTTTTTTTATTTGAATTATTATTATTATTATTATTTTATCAAAATCTGAACTTCATAGCTCTCTGTTGCTTTTCTTCTTTTGGCGACATTCATGTCAAAGGGAAGTTCCGCTCGCCTCAGAAAGTGACTCAGTCTGGGCAAGTTCGGACCGAGTGGCTCATCATGGAGCCTCAAGAAGGGAAACTTTTACGCTTTGTCTGGCCACTTTTGCTCATCGCCGTCCCTCCGCTCTCGCTGGCGCGCGCCGATCCTCCGCTCTATTACGGGCATGTGGTGGACGGGGCGCCGGCGGGGACCGCCGTGGCCGGACTCGTGCTGCCCGGTGGAGGCGCGTGCCGAGGCGCTTTGCGGGGCGAGCGCTCCGAGGACTTTTCTCTTTCCACCTCCGCGGACGGGCGCGGGCTCCTGCTGCGAACCGCCAAAACTTTGGAGCGCGCGCTGAAAGCGAGCTACGTGCTGCGCGCGCTGCTGCCGGGCTGCCCGGGCGCTCAGGATGCGGTGACCGTGCGCGTGGACGTGCTGCCCGGAGGCAGGCGGCGGAGGGAGGTGGCCGGAGAGCCGCATTACACCGTGGCGCTGGCGGAGGGCGCGAGACCCGGGGATGCGGTGTTCACGGTGCCGGACGAGCGCTTCGTTGAGCGGCGCTTCGAGGCGCTGGCGGACGGCGGCGGAGCGGTGCGCGTGCAGCGGGACTCCGGCCGCGTGTACTTGGCGCGCGCGCTCACGGCTCCCACGCACGTTACGCTGAAAGTGCACAACGCCAGAGGTGAGACTGACTTCATAACCCTGCTGTTTTCTGATCAGACTGGCTTTACCTTCCTAAAAGACATCGTGATTAATAATAATTCAAGTAATACAAATCCACAGAGTGCCCTGCTGAAAAAGATATGAGCTGCGTCCCAAACCACATACTACTACACCACACATACTACACTAATGAGTGGACTTCTGTGGGTGGTGTACTGTTTTTGATATACTGTGTAGTATGGTAGTATGCGGTTTTGGGTTCGGCATTTCAGAAAAGTGATGCAGTCCTTAAATGCTGATAAAGTGTTATTGTTATGCTAAATATTTTTCAAATTTAATGGTTTGTACATCATATATACTATGAGCTTTACATGCAAAAATAAGCATAGGAAATGTTATGTTTGGGGTCATACGGACATCATAAACAACACACTTTTGGGTTAAACTACTAAAGAAACTATGTGGACAGTGTGTGGAAGCAAGTTCTTCCCCACAGGTTGTAGACTTTGCTCTGGATGGTCTTAAGTGCATAGACTGAAAAGCTGCTCTAGACTGGTGTAGCAGCCCTGCACTGAACGTTTTAGTGCATTATCTGCCCCAACACACTTGACTTACCCCATCTACTTATTTCTTCATGAGGTTAAATGTGCTTGTTGGAGCACCAGGGCTGAGAAGCACTGGGCTAGTGGACCATTTCCTGAATCGAGAAGTGTTTGGAAGCTGGTTATGATAAGCAGCTGTGCAAAGACGCAGGACTTTTCCTCTGCGCTCACAAATGCCTTAGCATAATATTTCCCCATCTTGGTCCTGGAGTCCACCTGTTTTCCCTGCTCACATCTTTCTCAACTCATCGGCTCATTAACATGCCCTTCATCAGTTTAAAATAGTATGTTGGGAACGTGTGCAGCGTGTGCGGTGCTGTGGGAGTCACAGTGGTTGAGCTTGTGTCTTCATTTGTCTGTGGGAGAGATGCACGATGAAGCCCACACTCACGTTTCTTTAGCCTCCAGTCTTCCTTGTCCTAGCCCAAGTCTTTAACTCCATAACATTCGGACCTCCACATGCTTAAGCTTATTAGGCTTATTATTTCGAAACAGCTGAAAATGATGATTATTAAAGGGGAATTTAGACGATTTTTTAAACTCTCTGCATAATTCAACAGTGGAGATGTGAAGTTATTCAGAGTGGTTTGATGTGAAATGGCTCATTTTAGAGAAACTTACTGACTTTCTTTACAGTGGTGGTGATAGGAACCAGGGGTTGAGATGTCTACAGCACAAATATTGCCATTTTATTTACTATCATGAATGAAAAGTAAATTACATGTGACATCTGAGTTTCTCTATAACAGAACACTTCACATCAAACCACTCTAAATGACTTTTCTTACATCTTAAACATTTAATTATGCAGAGATTTTTTTAAATCAGTGTAGTTCCTCTTTCTCCAGCTCCCCCTGTGACCCAGAAGGATAAATGGTTTAGAAGATGTGTGTGTGTGTGTGTGTGTATGTGTGTGTGTGTGTGTGGTTCCTCTTTAAGTTATAGATTGTGAGTATGAGAAGTCTGGACCAACTGATAGATCCATGAATGTTAAGGGGTTTATTACATTTGCTGGGCACAGAGGAGGCCAATTGTCTGTTTTGTATAACAAAAATACAATATCTCTCCACAAGTCATCTCTCATAGCAACAATTTCAATCTGTTGTACTCAAAATACTGAGCCATCAGGAAAAAGTAAGTTGACTATATTGAAGTGCTATGTGATTAATGTCACATTGTTGATTCTGATCTGTTGATTTGCCTTGTCTGGCATCTTTCCACTACAATCTTGTCTTGAACAAACGCTTGTTAGTCTTGTTAGTTGGTTTGGAGATGATCACAAGTTGTTTGTAAGGTAAACAGCATTAACACATATGGGTTTGGCTTATTTAGTGTTGGTTTCTAACACCCAAAGCAAAGCATTTGTTTATGTCCCTGACAAATGTGCAGTCAGAGTACATAAAGGGGAATTCCACCAGCTTTTCAAAATTGCTGCACAACTCAGTCATTGATATGTAAACAAAGTCATTCAGAGTGATGTGATGTGAGATGGATCTTTGTAGAGAAACCTACCAACTCAAATCTCTTTACAGTGGAAGTAAAAGGAACCAGGAGTTGTGTCTACAATCCAGATATAGCCGTTTTATTTGTTATCCTAACTTGTAAAATAGTGGCGAGTCTGAAAAACGTCAGTTTTCTTTGGGGACTATTTTGCTTTATAGTGCCCTCTTCACCTTATATGTGCTTTAAAAATATGTTTTAGGCCAAAATTGTTTCGCAAAACTATCATAAAACAGTGTCCCAGGCATCAGGCATCATAACCATTTTTGTAATATCTTTCCATGAGGGAGCTTTTAGAGACATTGAACTCTTCAGACGTCTGGTTCTTATCACCACTGCTGTGAGCAATCCAGACTTAAGTTTTTTCAAATGGAGCAACTGTCAACTGTGGCACTTCTTTTTCTTCTCCTTAGTTATGCAGTAGTTTGGGAAACATATGTTCACAATATTGATATAACGAACCGAGTAACAGAGCGGTTGTGGCTCTAGCCGCACCGCTAATGGGAATAAATTGTGGCATGTTGAGTAAACTGAAATAAAGTTACCAACATCACTGGGCCTAGTTAGTGTAAATATTATGATGAAGGCCACTAATTAGGAACGTGAGTTTAGATGAAGTGGTTCGGGTCATGCTGGCCTGATTTTGTTAATCAGGGCCTTAAATATGAACCTACCTCCACTGTTTGTTTGGAGTAATTAGTGATATTTACCCACCTGGAAGTCACCAGAGACGTGTGCTTTGTGTGTCTCCGATACCTTGTCCAGGACAGGATCCACTGTTTATGGGGGGGAACTGGAGTGTTTGTTTTTGTATGTCAAGGCCTTATCCCTCATTATGTGACTGCAATTGCCTCAGCTTCTGATTTAAGTCAGCTAGTGATTGTTTTGTGGATTAAGAGGCTAAAGTATGGCTCATGACATGTTTACTAGACGAGTACGGGGTAACTCTGGCGCTGTTAATCATGTATAATCAGCACTCGCAAGCTCATCAGTCTTCACATTTACCAAGCTGTCTAGCAGCTGTCGGCCACATAATCTACCTGCTTCGGCATTTCTCTGGAAATGGAAAATGAATTCATTACTTCTGCCTGCTGAGCCTCTCCCATGACAATTTTGCTTTCTTTCTTCGCATAATTTGGTGTTATGATAAACATCAATGTCTCAGCAATGGTAACATTCCAGTAATCCAGATAAAACAGATTTCTGTTGGAAAAGTGGAGCAGATTGGGTCCTTAAAATGGTCATCAGCCTGTTAACTATGTAAAGCAAATGTGTTATTAAAATAAAGAAAAGATTTTTTGAACAGTGCCATAGAAGAACAACTTTTGGTTGCCTAAAGAATCACATCTGAAAAACATTTGTAAGTGTGAAGAACCATTTTAAGAGTTTTATTAACCTGCATGTCATGTGAAGGTTTTGTACCAATGTAAGGAGCTTTTGGAGAATTATGAGAGCATTAAATCCCTCAGTGCTAGACAGAATTTATGAATTTGTATAGTTTTTAGGTTTTTGTTCATCAATATTTTCTCACTACAATACCTGACATGCATTATGAAAATGCATCATACAACCATTGGCAATTCCTGTGATATCATCCAGTCCTGACTGCTAGCCTAGTTACTGTTCTGTAGTTAGCATTGTCTTTAGCATTAGTGTAACTCTCACCTTGGACGTCGAACAAAATCGAAAAGAAAACTGAAAATCTATCCTTATTCAGCACAAAATGGAACTCAAGAGACAAGTTTTTACAATTTCAGTCAGAGAAAAGGAGGCAAACCGAGATGGGATGCAGTTAGCTTGCTAACCTTAGCATTTAGCTTGTTGTCCTCCTCATCTGACAGGTCATTTCTGTTGTTTGAGAGATTCATTCTCTTCATTGTAATGATGATTTGAAGATGGTTTATACAGTAATGCCACCACAATAAGATAGATAGCCATAATTACCAGCTAATTGAAAAATAAATACATTCGAAACAGCTTGCCTCCAAAAATCCACCCCAAAACAGTTGCAGTTTCTCCCACCTCACATTTCATTTGCCAAACTTAAAGCTTATTGTCTTTCTTTTTTTTGATGCTGCTGGTTCATGTGGTCATTTGAACAGAACTGTCACTTTAAACACTCTCCTCATCCTCTCCTCATCCCAGTGAGAAAGCAGTGCTGTAGGAACAGCATCCCCTCGGCTGCATGCTCGCTCTGTACCTCGTTTAGTGCGGAGATGCTGTCTGCAGGACCGTCTCCCCAGTCGCGCGTGGTGAAAGCAAGCCAGCGCACAGGGTCTTCTGGGAGATAATTATGCTGGAAACTATTGTCTGGGCTTATGCTAACACTATTCTATTTGTGTATGTGTGTGCGTGTGTGAAAAGCGATGTTTGTTTTCTCCTATTTAGATGAGGAGTTTAGATAAAGTCGTCCCATCTGTGTGCACGGGCATTCCCTCTATATTCTTTCAAACACCACAATCCAGCATGCACAACACAGTATGGGGACAACACTGGAATAATTAGTGAAGTAAAAACATACAATGCATAATGCAGGAATTAGCCACTGCAGAATCTTTGCTTATGTACTGCCATCCAGACTAATGTAAAATGGCCCAAATCATAGAAAACTGAATTTTCCTCACTTTTATGAGATGGGTTTGATGTAGTATATAAACATTGTTAAAGTTTTTAAAAAGTACTGTTCACTCCCCAGTCCATATGTGGACACTAAGCTGCAAAAAAACTTTGAAGCCACTTTTTCTATGATGTCACAAAAAAACATTTCTATATATTATACAGCAATTTAGGATTGTTTCAGCCCAGTATGCTTTTGGAACGAGGTACAATACAAGGCAGCCAATCAGAACAGAGGTAATTTACATGTATCAGCCTTAGAGGTGCAGCTTGTTTAATTATACGGGATAAAGCAAGGTTG